TATTTACCAGGTTAATATTGCTGATCTGATATCATTGGGTGTTTGAATTTCAAATATGAGCATAGGACTTATTCTTAATCTTCATAACGATGAAAGGCGTAATTATAACTAAAGTGGATGTCGTAAAAGCAAGAAGTGTAGTCAAATCATTAACTTCATCCAAACATGATGCGTACTTGGCTTTGAGATCTGTAAATTCTGCTATAGTTGCTTGGTGTGCTTTCTGAAGAGCGGTGAGTTTGGTGGTGACTGAAAAGTTGTTGTCAGTCGGCGTGTTGGATATACTGAATGGCCTACATGTTGCGTTGCGGAATCGCTTACGAGTTCTTCTACTTTGCTTTCTAGTTGAAAAATGTGCTTATTGCGGCTGCCCAGTTCGCGCCCTAATTTTACAACATCCTCATTCTGAGCTTCTGCGGCTTGAGTTTCCCTTCCAATTTTTGGATATCAATTTCTCTTTGTTGCAATCTTTTTTTCAACTTTTCGATGGTTTGCACGAGTATAAGCAAGGGAAAGCTGAGACTTCGAGAGCAGAGATTAATTTTTCGTATTCTTCAATTACAGCTGACGACCAAATTCTTCCTTTATAGAACTGAGATATTTTGGTGAGCCTGGTTGACTATTCTCGGCGGAGAAAGAGTTGCATGGTCAGCATAATCAGCGTTGTCTTGGTGTTTGCGGCTACCTTTGCGTGTTTCTGCGTTAACTGATATGAAAGCTGTTGATTAGCGAGCTCATCTTCTAATGCATTGATATCAGAAAATTTTTTTGTTTTATCACCGTTAGTAACAAAAGTCAAAGGGGTTCTATAATCATATCCATTAGTCAATATTGGAGTACTTCATCCTAAAGCTGGTCTTCAACATCCTAATCTGTTCTCTTAGTTTCAACACCAATCCCTGAAGATGCTTAACATCATTCCATCCGGGTTCTTCCTGGTTGACTACGGCGCCTTATTCTTGATGTTTCGTGCTCGATTGGCATATTTTAACGTGTTTATACTCTGCCGGGGAAAGCATTTCGTTTTGTTGGAATTACCAAGGGCCGAGATCACATTTCCAAGAGCAAGGAGACTAGAGTTGATAGAGATACCTTCTTTCACACGACTGATGTACGTTTTAGCTAATGCAGAAAAACGTTGCACGAAATAAAAGTCCATGTCGTTCGGGAGATGTGACATAGAACAAGCCACGGGACTTTTATTATTTGTGCATAAATAAGAAGTATATAGTATAATATTATCTATTTCCACATAACAATCTGGTTTGCAAAAATAAACGAAAAAAAAAGGAGTAAATGTACGTATGACTGTATTGTTGGCTAAATTTGGTATTTACCTATTACACTTTGTCAATAATGTCAGCACAAGTATATTATACTCATTTCGCTCCACTTTTTCTTTAGCAAAGCAACTGTTCAACCATGACAAGCAAACTTCGGGAAAGTCTGTTGATAGTGGCCGCTTTCAAAGTGGATGGGTACTATTTCGTTGATGTGTTGCTATTCTTTAACTATTTTTCCAATAACGTTTACAAAAAACTTTTACGTCCAGAATATGACCTTCGTAAATGACGCAGAATCAAAGGTATTTAATTAAAGTATTTCCCGGATATAATAAGTGAGTCTTGACTATGATTCGGTATTTAGGCTATCAGTCAAATCGAAGAGAAACTTAGACATGCGAGAGACACGGCTTCCGAGGATTTAGACATTATAGAAATAGACCTACCACCCATTAAAACTGAAGAACGCGAAGAAGTTCTCGAAGCCATACACACCGTTTTTCAAGCCGAAAGAATTGATAATAAGCTGTATATCAAAGTAAGTGTCATTTTTGCTTGACACGTATCTCTTATCAACTGATTTATTTTTGTATGATTTAGCGCGACAGTTATGGGAAAGGAAAAGTACATACAAAGTTGTTGATTTCAATCACGACACAACTTCCAAGCTGGGGGGTCTGCAGTAAAGCGATAGCTGTAGTTAATGGGAACGAATTTCGACCTGACGTAGGGGGATGGAGTCAAGAACCAACGTTTGCGGAAAGGTTCCAGCCTATAGTCAATCGAACCCCACCTCCATCATTATGGATCGAGGTAATGATAGTTTCTTCTGAAAGTATATACTGTACCTCTATTTTTTGACGACCTTATTAAGTTGTTAAATATTACAGGTAGCGTTCGATCGGAGTAACGATTGTGATAATGCCTTAAGCAAGATCGCATATGTTCAGCGATATTGTCCAAACACAGAGTTTGTGTTGATTGTAATTCCTTATCGATCGCCCATTCCGGCAAATCCAAACCCTGGTGCTACTTCTGTTGTAGCAACGGCATCCGTAATCCTTCTTTAGGAGTGCCATATCTTGGTCATTGGGGTATAGGTGTGACTTTCAATGCAGCGTTATGGTACAAAATGCAATGGAACGAACCCATGGTTCTTGAGTGTGGAGCAGAGTTTGTGTTGATCGTAATTCCTTATCGATCGCCCATTCCGGCAAATCCAAACCCTGGTACTACTTCTGTTGTAGCAACGGCATCCGCAAGTCGTTCTTTAGGAGTGCCATATCTTGGTCATTGGGGTATAGGTGTAGCTTTCAATGCAGTGCTATGGTACGAAATGCAATGGAACGAACATATAGTTCTTGAGTGTGGGAGCAAACATATGTTTTAATGACGTTCTTTGGTGTTGCACTGAATGACTATTAGTTTGATTTATTTACCGGGTTAATATTGATGATCTGATATCATTGGGATCTTGAATTTCAATTCTCAGAAGCAGCTTTAGAGGTCCACCTTAGTTGCGCCTAATAAAGGACACGAATTTCAATTCTCAGTGGTAATGACCAGTTGAATTCTCGTCAATATTTTATATTCAAAAGCACAAAATAAGTTGCAATTTGCATTAATATTATGAAACAAAAACGGCTGGATAGCTATTTTTCTGCTTGTACAGAGAATCTTTGAGTACTCACATAATCATAGTATTGGTTAATAAAAGAATGATAAAAAGTGCAGTTATTTTCATTCTTAATATTGTCTGTGACAAAATGTAAATCACTTGGTATTTTATTTACTTATATTGTAACTATAAAGGTTATAGTCACCACCCTGAATGACCTGCCCCAATACGGTGACTATATATATATGGATGGGGGTGTTGTATGTCAGATCAGAATTATTCAATAAAACATTGTCATATTTATTATTATTGCTAATTTTCTATTATTCATGTGATACGTGTCAGTTTGGAAGCGACATAAAATTCTGATCTGACATATATCACTTCCGATCTGACATATGTTAGTTCGGAATTGACATAAATTCTGATCTGACATACAGCACAACCAAATTAGGGCTAAAATACGGACAGATAGTGGGAAAATTAACAAATCTGCGCTTTTCAATTTTACTTTTCGATTTAGTGGTACAATAGCTATTACCGTTGTAGAGGATTTGGTGTTTAAGCGATAAACAGAATGGTATAACAGCAATGTACTGTTCACTATCGCCATTGTTATTATGCATTTATTGTTTGATGAGTTGAGTTATCAAACAAGTTTGTGCTAATCACACAATTTGACGACTGGTGTGTGTGGTTTTTGACGAAGAATTTAACCATATGACTTGTGGTTTGCGCACAATTTGTCGAATAATTTGATAATCAATAACGGCTTACGAACCAACATGTAGAATTGTCAATACTAACTATACGTACGCTTTATCGAATTTTCAATTCCACCTCATTGAATGAATCGTTCTGCGATATAATTAGCAGAATTCACTAATCCTCGGCATCGGCATAGAAT